CCTAAAAGCAATATCTCATTTACCATTTTAACATAAATAAACACACACACACACACACACATAGACACACAAATAGGGAAAGTTGGGTGGGGTATAATTTCTAAGAGAAAATGAATTAAAAAAAAAAAAACCACAATATGTAGCCAACTACTTTATAAGAAATAGCACATTTTATAAAGGAAAAAAAAACCCCATCCCCTTATAAAAATGATATTGACATGAAATATAGGATGTAGAGAATGAGAGACAGACAGATAAGCAGGAACAAAATTAAAATTCTGAATAATGAAAAATAAAAACTAGGAAAGTTTTTAAAACACACCCATACCCACAAAAGACAGGTAAGTTAACCTAAAATGATTTTCTACACTGTGAAAAAAATGGAACAATAAGAAGCAATAATAAAGTGCATTGTAACTAAAGGAATAATATATAAAATATAAACAAAACAAAACATGATTAAATAATTAAAAATCCAGTAATGTAATAAAATCAGTGCAAATTTTAAATAGCAAGGAAGACTATGAACAGCACTTTTTGACTCCTCCCTTAAAATAGGGACAGCTCAAAATAGGGACACTTTCTATAGAGATACTCTTACCTTAGCTGTAAAGTTTAGTGAGGTCCAATCAGTAACCTGAAAAGCTTTTTAACTATATTACAGGTAGTCCTCGACTTACGAACATGCATTTAATGACCATTCAAAGTTACGTTGGCACTGCAGAAAGTGATGACTGGTCCTCGCAGTTATGACCATTGTAGCATCCTGTGGTCATGTGATCAAAATTCAGGTGCTTGGCAACTAACATGCTGCAGCATCCTGGGATCACATGATTGCCATTTGTGACCTTCCCAGAGGGCTTCTGACAAACAGAGTCAATGGGGGAAGCCAGGTCTGCTAAATGACTGCATGATTCACTTAACGACTACAGCAAAAAAAGGTTGTAAAATCAGGTCTGACTTACTTAATGACTGCATCGCTTAGCGATGGAAGTTCTGGTTTGGTTATGGTCATAAGTCGAGGACTACCTGTACTTATATCAAGCTTTTCCTATCATCCAAAGCTATGGGAAATCAAAAGCTGAATATGAGCTTAATAAAGGCAACATAAAATAAAGGCAATATAAACTTGTTTGCTATGACCATCAGAATATTTTTAATCAAGGCTGTCAAGAGCTGCAATGTTCCTTTGTGGTGCAACCTCAGCAAAAGCTTGC